CTATTGAGAGATATGAATTTAGTGCCATTGTATTGCCTGTAAGGTGACTGTTATTGTATTTTGTTTCTGTTCCTTTCTGATCTACTACTTTTAGGCTCTCTCTTTGCTTAGAGGACCCCTTTCAATATTTCCTGTAGAGCTGGTTTGGTGTTTGCAAATTCTTTCAGTTTTTGTTTGTCCTGGAAGCTTTTAATCTCTCCTTCTATTTTCAATGATAGCCTAGCTGGATATAGTATTCTTGGCTGCATGTTTTTCTCGTTTAGTACTCTGAATATATCATGCCAGCTCTTTCTGGCCTGCCAGGTCTCTGTGGATAAGTCTGCTGCCAATCTAATATTTTTACCATTGTATGTTACAGTCTTCTTTTCCCGGGCTGCTTTCAGGATTTTCTCTTTGTCACTAAGACTTGTAAATTTGACTATTAGGTGACGGGGTGTGGACCTATTCTTATTGATTTTGAGGGGGGTTCTCTGAGCCTCCTGGATTTTGATGCTTGTTCCCTTTGCCATATTGGGGAAATTCTCTCCAATAATTCTCTCCAATATACCTTCTGCTCCCCTCTCTCTTTCTTCTTCTTCTGGAATCCCAATTATTCTAATGTTGTTTCGTCTTATGGTGTCACTTATCTCTCGAATTCTCCCCTCGTGGTCCAGTAGCTGTTTGTCCCTCTTTTGCTCAGCTTCTTTATTCTCTGTCATTTGGTCTTCTATATTGCTAATTCTTTCTTCTGCCTCATTTATCCTAGCAGTGAGAGCCTCCATTTTTTATTGCATCTCATTAATAGCTTTTTTTAATTTCAACTTGATTAGATTTTAGTTCTTTTATTTCTCCAGAAAGGGCTTTTATATCTCCCGAGAGGGTTTCTCTAATATCTTCCATGCCTTTTTCGAGCCCAGCTAGAACCTTGAGAATCGTCATTCTGAATTCTAGATCTGACATATTACCAATGTCTGTATTGATTAGGTCCCTAGCCTTCGGTACTGCCTCTTGTTCTTTTTTTTGTGGTGAATTTTTCCGCCTTGTCATTTTGTCCAGATAAGAGTATATGGAGGAACAAGTAAAATACTAAAAGGGTGGCAACAACCCCAGGAAAATATGCTTTAGCCAAATCAGAAGAGATCCCAAATCGTGAGGGGGGGTAAGGGGATAAAAAGAGGTTCAGAAAGAAAAAAGAAAAAAGAAACAAATAAAAGAAGAAAACCAATAATGAAAAAATATGAAAAGGAAAAAAATATATATATATTAGATAAACTAGTTAAAAAACGTTAAAAAAGAAAAGGGTAAAAGTTAAAAAATTTAGCAGAAGAAGAGAAAAAAAATTGAAAAAGAAAAAAAAATTAACTGCATGGCTAAAGAATCATGGGGAGAAAGCCATGAGTTCCGTGCTTTGCTTTCTCCTCCTCTGGAATTCCGCTGCTCTCCTTGGTATTGAAACTGCACTCCTCGTAAGTGAACTTGGTCCTGGCTGGGTTTCTTGTTGATCTTCTGGGGGAGGGGCCTGTTGTAGTGATTCTCAAGTGTCTTTGCCCCAGGCGGAGTTGCACCGCCCTTACCAGGGGCCGGGCTGAGTAATCCGCTCGGGTTTGCTTTCGGGAGCTTTTGTTCCCTGAGTGCTTTCCGTAGAGTTCCGGAGGACGGGAATGAAGATGGTGGTCTCCCAGTCTCCGGCCCGGAGGAGCCGAGAGCCCGGGGCCCCACTCCTCAGTGCGCCCTCAGAGAACAGCGCCCAATTGCTCCCGTCACCCTGGCCTCCGGCCGCGCTCCGAGCTGACCGAGCCTGCGACCGGTTCAAGGCAACCCCGAGCTTAGAGCTCACTCCTCAGCTCTGTCTCTGTAGCCGGCTTCCCTGTTCTAATACCTGTAAGCTCTGCGACACTCAGACACCCCCGATCCTTCTGTGACCCTGCGGGACCTGAGGCCACGCTGACCCTGCGTGGGCTTCACTCCGGTTAAGCCTCTGGAGCGATGTCCCTCAGCGGAACAGACTTTTAAAAGTCCTGATTTTGTGCTCCGTTGCTCCGCCGCTTGCCGGGAGCCGGCCCCTCCCCCCGAGGTCTATCTTCCCGTCGCTTTGGATTCACTTCTCCGCCAGTCCTACCTTTCAGAAAGTGGTTGATTTTCTATTTCTAGAATTGCTGTTCTTCTTCTCTTCGATCTCCCATTGGATTTGTAGGTGTTTTCAATCTTTAGATAAGCTATCTAGCTGATCTCCCGCTACCTGAAGTAGTCTCAGCTGCTACTTCTCCGCCATCTTGACTCCTCCCACCTCTCTTGGTTCTTTTTTATGGTTTTTACTTCTTTATTGGTAGTCTCTGGTGAGAACTCATTCTCCTACTTCTTTTTAGTTTTTTTAGACATTTGACAACTCTTTTGTGAATATGTTTAAAACAGCTGATATAAAGTCTTTGTCTAGGGACACCTGGCTGGCTTGGTCAAAAGAACATGCTACTCTTTATCTCAGGGTCATGAGTTTGAGCCCCACGTTGGGTGTAGAGATTACTAAAATGAATGAATAAATGAGTAAATAAGTAAATAAACTTTAATAATAAAAACTAAAGTCTTTGTCTAGTTAATCCAATGTTTGGAATTCCTCAGTGGTAGTTTATACTGATTTTTTTTTCCTGTGTATGGAACATACTTTCTTATTTCTTTGCATGTCTCATAATTTTTTGTTGTTGGAAACTGGGCATTTAAAATAATAAGATTTGACAATGCTGCAAATCAGATTCTTCTCCCTTTCCTGGGCTTCTTGTTATTGCTATTTATTGTTATTGTTTGTTTAGTCAATTTTCTTAGCTAATTCTGTAAAATCTGTCTTCATTGTGTGTGGCCCCTGAAATATCTGCTAGATTCTCTTAAGGTCATCTAATGATTGCACAGAGATTTCCTTTGATGCCAGGACCAAATAAGTATTTCAGTCTTTGCAATAAGTTCTGTATGTGTTTGGGGGCACACCTTCAACACTGAGGCAGACAGTTAACAAATCTACCTTAGTTTTTATTTTCTTGCTTGTTCAGAGCCTCAACATTAGGCAGAGGTGGAAGCTTAGGACATCCTCAAATCTTAGTACTGAGTATGCAAATATCTGTGGGCACAGTCTTATGCATACTCATGGTCTCTTAGATTCCCAAATATGTGGGAGCTTTGCAAAGCCCTCTGTGGATAGCCCTTTCTCCAGTTTTTCCTTTTAAGCTGTTTGGCCAGTGCATTGTTTGTTTCAGTGGCAGAGAGACAGGGGGAAGCAGGCTTGGACACCTTGGACAGTGGGATGTTCAGCAGTTGCTTCTGATTGTTTTCAACAAATGCCCCCAAGGAAAAGGCTTTTCACACTGGCTGAGCTCTGATTCAGGAAAAATAGATAGCCTTGACAATGGGATCTTCCAGGAATTCCACCAGACAGGCCAAATAATGCCAATTCTCCAAAATGGACTTTGAAGGAGCTCCAGCCCTCCCCCACTGTGGTGGATGTCAGGATGCTGGTTCTCAAGGTGACTCCAGAGCTGGTGGAAGGACCTGGAAAATAGAGCAAGTTAAAACTCCACAAAGCTTACTGTTCTCACTGAGATCCAGCCAGTTTTCTTAAGTAAACTCTGCTGGAATTACTGTACGCCTTTGGTTAATTTCCAGAGTTCTGAAAAAGGCTGCTTCTGACCATTCTTGCCAATGTTCTCATTGCTTTTGTGGAGAAGAGAATCCTCAGAAGTCTGTCTGCCACTATTTTATTGGTGTGGCCAACAAGCTAATTTTGAGCCTGCATGTGTATACCATATTTAGTGGCTAATTAAGGACACTATGCTTGCACTCAGTGGCTTAGTTGATAGGTCCCCCAATGATAGGTTCATGATCAAAGGAGCAAGACTGATACAAAGCGAAGGACAAGCAGAGCTTTATTTCACTGCAAGCATCGAGGATCAAACCGACCTTCGGGGCCACCTCTTACAGAGAGGGCGACCCCTCACAGACTAACTTTTTTTTTTTTTTCATTTGTTTATTTGACAGAGAGATCACCAGCAGGAAGAGAGGTAGGCAGAGAGAGAGGGACGCAGGTTCCCTGCTGAGCAGAGAGCCCGATTCGGGGCTTGATCCCGGGACCCTGGGATCATGACCTGAGCCGAGGGCAGAGGCTTAACCCACTGAGCCACCCAGGTGCCCCACAGGCTTTTATAGAGCAAAGGCCATGTGGTTGAGCCCGCCACACACGGGTGGCCAATGAGATTGTAACACACAGAGAAAGCTTCACAGTCATGCTAGGTCACACACGAGTGGCCAGTTGAATTACAGTTCACCCCACAGTAGCTATTGGAACTAGCCTATCACCTTGGTCAGAATTGGCGCCCAAAAGGCGGGGCCCACACTCCTTGGTAGCTAGGGAGACAGTATGCACGCCCCACTGATTAGATGTCTCCACCTGACCCGACTCATTCCTGCATTCAGGTTCTGTTATCTCCACCTGACCTGACCTGCCCTTGTATTTGGGCTCTGTTATCAGGGACTGGTCAACCATATTTTACTGGTTTCCCAGACTTGCTTTTAAGTAAGTTCCCCTGGCGGGCGGGGGGCAGAGTCAGTTTAAGTTTTACTGCATAAACAACAAAATCACTGTTTAACCAGATGGAATCGCTCTAGCTAAATAGGCCCTTACATAGTGAGGCCACTTTTCCTTGGTTGAATTGTTTGTGGATTCTGCTGCTAGGAGCCAGTGAGATCGCGCCTGCCGGGCCAGCCCTCCTACATTTTAGTCTTGTATCTACAACAAGCTGAGTATATGACCTTGGAATAGAGGAGCTGAGAATTCCAGAGTACCAACTATGTGCTGCAGTGTGTGCTGCATGTTTTATGTATATTATATCTTGTCATTCTTGCACCAACCAAGAAAGAGGAAATGTTCCCATTTAACGGATGAAGAAACTTCTAAAACGCGGTGATAGGTAGATTGGCAGATGTGTAACCGGTATGTGTTTCTCTCCTCCCCCTTCGGGCTCCACCCCCTCCCACTGCAGAGGCAAGAGGGGACAAGGCCAAGTGGGTATTTACCTGGCCACTCATCTTCCTCCTGTGCGTCACCATCCCCAATTGCAGCAAGCCCCGCTGGGAGAAGTACTTCATGGTCACCTTCATCACCGCCACGTTGTGGATCGCGGTCTTCTCCTACCTGATGGTGTGGCTGGTGAGTGGTTATGGAAGTAGGGGTGGGCCACAGACAGCCCCTGCCCAGCCCCTGCCGGAGATGGGAGAGCTGGGTTCAGCGACCTCAGACACGGTGGTGCCACCTTCAGCAAGCCACCTCCCATTGCAGACGTTGGCTTATTTCTCCGTAGAAGGGGTTTCATCACAGGCGCCTGGGACTATGCTGGGCACTGCAGATTCCTGGATGGATACAGCATGGCGCCAGCCTTCAAGGCAAGAGTGGGGGCGGGAGATGAGATTCTGAGACCCGCTGCTTCTGCAATGGGAAGAGGAATATGGCAGGGTAGTGGGGATGCTCTGGGAAGATCTCTGGAGGGCTAGGCACTAGTCCCCCTTCCTTTCTGGGACCCCTGGGGGAATGTGAGGGAGACTGGAGTCAGTGGGAGATGAAGACAAGGCAGCCTTCATTGTAACCCCTGCCAGTAAACTTTTAGCCTTCATAACAACAACAGTGGGATAGGTGTTTTTATTTTGTCCATTTCACAGGTGAGGCAACTGAGGCATCCAGCTTCGGTATTTAGCCCAGCTGCACAATTATCAACTATTATGGGATTAGTTCCACAATCAGTGAGTTCTAGAGTTGGGCTCCTGAGTTCATGATCTCAATGACTATCCTCAGCCATCCCTCAGTTTCTTACTGGAGTTTTCAGAGGCCATTTGCACCCAAGTTTTGCAGGCAAAGAGGCTTTGGCATAGCTCCTTGTAAGCTCCACTGGCCACATGTGACAGCTTCCTATACAAACCTTTCATTGGCTGGGGGCGGGGGTGGGGCGGCAGTAAGCAGGAGGCCCTTTCCCCTTGCTCCATGTACAACCCTGTGGGGAGGGAAGGGTCATGGGGTCACATGGAAATGCATTTGAATCCTAGACCTCCCATGTGCCAGCCATGAAGTGCCGGCAACTGGCTCAGCCTTCATGAGCCACGGTCACCCCTTCTGCAGAAGGAGGATGGCCATCCCTGTCTTACAAGGTCACTGGGAGGAGAGAAGTCTCTGCTCAGACCTTGTGGCCCTAGCTGGCAGGATGACAGATGGATAATAACTGTCAATAGCAACTGTTTTCACCGTGAGATGCAGCCAGTTCTATGTCCATGCTTTGTTCAGATCAAGGTTAAAATCCTTACACATGCCGGTATGTGTGTATGTGTGTATATGTGGGGGGGGGAGCGTGTGCACGTGTGTGTGCATACTGGGGTGCGGGAAGAGTTGAAAATAGCTACTCCAGCCCCCCACGTGAAGGACAATAAAGGATCACAAAAACGATGCCTTACATGAATCGCACTTGTAAATTGACATCTTTCTGAGTAAGGTTAACACCAACCCATCTTTATATGTGATAAAAGGATCCAGGGAATTCTCTTACTGAAGTGCATGCCCAAAACAACACTGCAAGGAGGAAAAAAAAGTATTTGCATGACATCAAAGGAGTAGGTATGGGAGTTAGGAAAGATCAAATTAATGAACGGGTGAAACGTTTCCTTCAGTTACTGGAAACAGCAGTATTAGGAAACCAGCTCTGCTCATTTGCTGTGAGGACGTTTAGCAGCACTTGCATCCCCCGCCCCCACCTTGACTCAGCCCTCTTGTGCTGCTTAAAGCAGAGAGATTCATGGGAGCAGCTTGGTGAGGGTCACAGGAACTGCTTGGCCAGGGCATCCTTACCTGTGGCTTTGAACTTTAGCCCGCCTCAGTTTGGGGGAAATGGGATGGCCCTGATAGTAGAAATTGATCAAGACAGTAGCACCCCGTGTTAGTCCTCATTTTGGGCATGAGCTTGCTTTCCTTGTGCCCCAGCGGAGGCCACCAGGCACCAGTGATGTCTCACCTGCCCACCCCTTACTCCTGTCACCTTTCGGATCTCTCACCCCTAAGGCTTCAGAGAAACTACTTCTTGAATGTCCTTGTGAAAAGGGAGGGACCTTTGAAAGGGATGGTCCTGTCCGGCACCTTTGCACAGGTGGGGAGATTGAGGACCAAGAAGAGGGCCACGGCTTCCACAAGGTCGCACAGATAGTCAGCCCCAGAGCTGGGATTCAGGTCTGCTCCCCTATTTGGTGCCTAAGTATCAGCTGGGCTCAGAGGGCCCAGGACAGGAGTCCAGGGCAACGCAGCACCCAGGCAGCATCTCTAGTCTGAAGCACCCTGGATAGTGCGTGTGTTTGCACACACACATGCACGCACACACACCCATAGACCTTCCTTCGTTCTTCCATCTTTCAGCTTCTTAGCCATGTAGTTCAGTGATTTAAGGGGGGGAAATGGAGGCATCCCCCACAATACCAAAACAACCCAGGCTCCTGTATTTACAAAGTCTGGCATCCCCCGTGGAAAGCATGTCAGCCACGGCCTGGTTGGACTTGTGAAGATCCTGTTCGTGGCCAAGGTAGACTGAACACTATGGATAAGTGGCTCATTTTTGCCCTCCTTGGTGTCTGAAAGAGAAAAGAAACATCTGTAACCATCTTGCTCAGGCCAGGCACGGTCCCCTCACATTTTCTCAATTAATCTTTATTAGCAGACCCATTTTACAGGTGAGGAAACTGAGGCTCAGAAAAGGACACCAGCTTGTCCTAAATCACACAACCATTCACTGGGACTGGAGCCACCCATCGAGATGTGAATGACCCCAAGAGGTGCCACGGTTCCCATTTTAGAGGTGGGGAGGCAAGCCAGAGCTAATGGGGTTATCCAAATGCTTCTAGGGCTTTCCATCTGGGTGCTGCTCAGGGCTCCAGCCATCTCTGGAGCATCAGGCATTTCTCAGTAGAGCGTATGACTGCGGATCAAGATCCTTCTACCCGACCATTCTATTTCTTGGAGCTTATGCTAAGAAGTCAGTAAGATAAGGACCCCAAGTCCTACACACAAGGTTCATGACACTGAGGTAGGAACATGGCCTTTCGAGTCAGCAAGACCTGGTCCAGAATCCCTGCTCCACCGCTCACCACCTTCTGGCCCACGGGCCATGCCACATCACCTCTCTGGGCCTCAGTTTCCCTGGGTGTAAAATGAGTGTAACTGCAATGCCCCCTCACCAGGAGGTGGTGATAAAGGAGCACCTGGGATTGTGTACACAACATACCTGGTAGAGTGCCTGTATACAGTAAGTGCTCAGTACATGTTACTTACATGCACTGAGGTCGTGAGAGCAAAGAAAGAGACCGTCCGGTTGTGGGAACGTGAGGGATTGGCCGTACAGCCATGCCCATGAAACCCATGCATCGGTTTAAAATCGTGTCGGAAATGACAATGGGAGATGGAAAGGTATCCACAGCGTCTTAGTACAGGAAACGGGAACTTGCAAACCATATACTGATAGCATAATCTGATTGTTTTTTTTCCAACAAACGCACCAAAAGGAAGGTCAAGGATATATTCTAAAGCAACAGTTTTCAAGTGTGGTTACCAGACCAGTAGCCAGAGGGTCCCAGCCACCTGGGAACTGGGTAGGAACGTAAACTCCCAGGCTTTACCCCAGGCCTCCGGAATCACAAACTCAGCGGCATGGGGGGCAGGGGGTAGGGGAACAGCCTCCCAGGGGCTGTTCCACGGGCTTAGAGTTTGAGAACCATGGGCTGACAGTGGTAATGGTGGTCATCTGTGGGTCTTGTTTCATTTCCCTTCAGTTTCTAAATGTTTTAAAACAGCAACTGGAACAGCGGTCCTACGTTCCAGTTGAAAGCCCTCAGAGTCAGCGAAGGTCCTGGGTATTCTTCCCGGAGTTCACGGCCCCTCCCCCGCTCTTCTGCAGGTGACTATTATTGGGTACACGCTTGGGATCCCGGATGTCATCATGGGCATTACTTTCCTGGCAGCGGGCACGAGTGTTCCAGACTGCATGGCCAGCTTAATTGTGGCAAGACAAGGTAAGGGCCATGAGCTGGCCCCCCTAGCTGCGAGCACCACCAGGCAGGCCCCCCGCCCCTACTGGGGTTAGAGTTCATGGCCCTTCAGACTGGTGCTCTTACGTCATGCTATGGAGTCAGCGGATGAGGGGAAAGCATCATGCATCAGAGCCCATCCACGGAGAGAACACGACCAAGATGAACACCTCCAGATCTCTAGAAGCATTTGCTTGTGCAGACTAGGATCAAAGGAACTTGTTCTGGAATCACTAGTGTGACATTAAACTGAGACCCCAACTTCTTCCAACAAATACAATAGTAATGGGAAGTCTTCTGGTCCCAGGAAGGCAATGGGGGAGGAGCATCTTGTACCTCCAACTGTTTTGCTATTCTTAAGGTTCTAGAACATGGATACGGGTTTGGTTTCCTGGTTGGTTGGCTGGTTAATGGTTTTTCTTTGGGGCTCACCACCTGACATGGGTTAATAAGCAAGGGAAGGAGTTCCTGTGTGCTCTTTAATGCAGAACAAAAGCCCCGTAAAGGGCTGACCTTTGTTGATTGTGGTGTTTCTACTGATGAGGTCGCAACCCAGCATGGACCTCCACACATCTTCCTCCACAGATGTGAGTGTGAAAGTATGGGGGGGGGCGGTCAGTGGGGGCCAATAATAGTGACACCTCAAAGGAGACGGGAGAGGAAAGAAGTGCCCAAGGAGAAAGTGGGCTCTGGAACGTGGAATGTGACATTTTATTCCTCCCAGGTTAGGAGAAAGTGTTGACCGGGCTGCGGGCAGATGTCTGTCAGTCCTGAGAAGACCTGCGATGCGGGGAGAGAAGTGTGGGAATGTGGTTGTCATAGGTCGGAGGCTGGCAGAGAGTGGGGACGGTGGGGACAGCAGCTGAGGGGAATGGGATTTAGTGGAGTGACCTCTGAGGTGAGTGTATTCACTTCCTAGGGCTGTCATAACCACACCACAATGGGGTGCCTTAAAACAAGAGACTGTTGCACAGTTCTGGATGCTGAAAGTCCAAAATCGAGGTGGTAGCCAGGCCACACTCCCTCCAAAGGCTGTAGGGAAGGGTCTGTTCCAGGCCTGTCCCCCAGCTTCCAGGGGTGGCCGGACAGCTTAGAGCTGCGTCACCATCGTCTCTGCCTCCGTCAGCACGTGGTGTTCATCCCTCGGCATGTGTCTGTATCCGAAATTTCGTCTCTGTGCAGTGAGGAATGGGAACACTGCCGGGCACCAAGGGCCTGGCTGTTGTTCAGTGACATCAGCTTGGCTAGGCAGGACTCTGTCCCACCAGCTCCAGGGACACATGCATGAGGGATGACATGTTCTCCCAGAGCTGGGGTTGCTGGGTGGATGCTGGGAAGGTCAAGAGGGGGCAAGAGAATGGGCTGTTGAAACAACCAGCCCTGGAGTCCTGGCGGGCTGGGGTCATGATGCTAGAAGGTGAAGGGCTGGGGGTAGGGGTGGGGGGTGAGGTCAAGAAAGGGAACCTAGGCTAAGTGGGGTTCTGAGGGAGGACATCCTATCAGAGTGACTCCTGTGGAACGTGGAGGCACAGAAAGTAAGCGAGGGCAAGACGCAGGTGGAGTGCCTCTTCATGAAGGTGACACTGGGGTCCCTGGCCGAGGACCCAGCAGACAGGGTTAAAGCATGGACAGTGTCTTCCTGGCAAAGGGCCCAGAAACCTCTGCACAGAATCCGCTGCCCTAGCAGACCACACCATGTGCTCTAACGCGGAGATCCCGCATCCTAGGCTCCCCGACGCCTCCCAGCTCCAAGTGTGGTCCGGGGTGGTGGCCACAGCAGCTCGACCAGGGAGCTTGTAAGAAATGCAGAATCTCAGGCCACCTGCATGGCTCAGTCGGTTAAGCATCCGACTCGGTTTCAGCGCAGGTCATGATCACAGGGTTGTGAGATGAGTCCCGAGTTGGGTTCCGCAGTGAGCTGAGCATGGAACCTGCTTAGGAGTCTCTCTCTCTCTCTCTCTCTCTATTCCTCCGCCCTGCCCCACCCCCCACTCTTGCTCTCTCTCCCGCTAAAATTAATTAATTAATTGACCGATGAATTAATTTGAAAAAGGAAACGCAGCATCTCAGGCCTGCCCCAGACCCACTCAGTTGGAACCTGCATTTCAGCCAGGCCCCCAGGTGAGTCTCACGCTCTTGAGAAAGGTTACCCTGAGGTTCCTCCATACGCAGCACCTGTGCACCTGTGCAGGGCGGGAAGCCTGGGGAATCTGAGGAGGCCTCCGCGTCTCCTCTCAAGCATGGGTCACCTGCATCCCTCCTGACCCGCTGAGCCAGGGCTGCATCCTCCCCAGAGGCGAGTGACTGCCCCAAAATAGCTGTTGCGTGTCCCTATGTTGTTCCAGAGACTGAGACCCTGGAAGGGTGATGCCCCAGGGTCAATGCCGAGATGTTAAAGGCACTCAGCATGGCGCCGAGACAGAGAGGGGAAGAACGTGAGGTCCTTGAGGGAGGCACTGTGTCCTGGAGGACTGCAGGTGACAGCAACAGGACAGGAGGAGAGGGTGGTCCAGCTCCCCACCCCCACCCCCGCTGGACCGGTGCTCAGGCAGCTTGCAAACCAGCTGTCCAGGTGCCAGGCTGAGCGGCTGCAAGCTTCCCAGGGACCCAGCAGTCTTAGGGCTGCAAGCTGTTCCCAGCTCATTCATTGCACACGCACTTGTATTTGTGCCGGGTTCTGATGGTCATGTCAGCGTAAAGCTGGGTGGCCAGGTTCAAGCAGATGGCACCCAGCAGGAGTTTTATCTTTGCAAGTTTGTTTTCTAACTTGTAATACTCCTTGAGCTGTTAAGCCCCTTGACTGTGTGGCTAGCATGATCCCGGCCAACTGGGCGGAACGCAAAGGAGGATGGTGAGGCCCCTAGCCTCTAAGATGCTTCTAGTCTAGTTGGGAGAAAAGAGTTTATTTACCCTGCAGAAGGCTCCAGGGCATGAGACCTGATGCCTCATCCTCTGAGCCCGGGTGGTGAGGCCATCACCTGAGCCCCAAGGACACATCCTGGCTCGGTTTGAAGGATGCTGGGCCCCTCCCAAACTGTGTGACCTTGGGCACGCCCCAAGCCTTGGTTCCATCATCTGGCATGAGGACAACACCTCCTCCCTCCCAGGGTACCTGGGAGAATCAATGTGGTGAAGCACATAGTGGGTCCTCGGAGAAGATCAGCGGACTGGCCGGGCAGGAGAAATGATGAAGGGTCCTGTGTTCCTTTCCCAGGGCTGCCATAACAAAGTAGCACAAACAACAGAGATGTGTGGGCTCACGGTTCTGGAGGCTAGAAGCCCAAGGTCAAGGTGTTGGCAGAGCTGGTTCTTCCTGAACACCGTGAGGGAGAGTCTGTTCCAGGCCTCTCTCCTTGGCTTAAAAATGGTCATCTTCATGTTCCCTCTGTGCTGTGTCCAGGTGTCCCCTTCTGAGAACAGCAGTCATATTGGACTAGGGTCTGCCCCCAATGGCTCCTTTTAAGCTGATGATCCCTGCAAAGACCCTATCTCCAAATGATGCCACGTTCTGAGCTATTGGAGGTTAGGACTCTAACATATGAATCTTAAGGGTCATCATTCACAGCCTAGGAGGCCCCCCTTAGACTTCATGGAGTGGACTTAGACCTCATAGGAAGCTTCTGAAATGTGGGGTCCATGAAGAAGGAACTCCTTTCTGAAGAATAGCACTACTAGGACCCGAATAGGGGTTTCCGGCCACCTAATCTCCATGAATGACATGTGTCAATTGTCTACTCTAGGCCTTGGTGACATGGCAGTCTCAAACACCATAGGAAGCAACGTGTTTGACATCCTAGTGGGACTTGGCATACCGTGGGGCCTGCAGACCATGGTCATTAACTATGGGTCCACGGTAAGCTCCTTCCCCCGCCTTATAAGCCACAGGGACACCAGACACAAGCCCTTGATGGGAATGGACAGTGGCATTGGCCCTGTCCCAGCAGAGAGCCCCCATGGAACACACTGCCCCCCTCTCCTTGGCACCCTGGCACCCATTTTCCATGAGGGCCTCTGGAACAGCCTGAGGGGCACCTGTTCGGGGAAGCCCCACGTGCAGCCTCCCCACGCCTGTGCTCACGGGCATGCGCGTCCACTCCTCATCTGTTCCCTCACACGGAGTGGAGACTTAAATCCATGGTTAGCCAACCGACCCCCACCACGTGCCCCCCGTTGAACACCCACCTATGCTTTCCAGAAGGAATACACTGGGGTGCCCTAGGCTCTCAGGACAGGGCCCTGAGCAGCCCCGATATTCAGGGCACATGTGTTTGTTTTTCCAGGTGAAGATCAACAGCCGGGGTCTGGTCTATTCCGTGGTGCTGTTGCTGGGCTCCGTCGCTCTCACAGTGAGTCTTTCTGGTTCTGGAATTGCCCTTTGTTCCATCTGATCCTGCCTCGTCACTTGCCAAGTCTCTGAAACCCCCCTCACTTCCCTGGGGCCGCGAGGGCTGACAATGAGAAAACACAAATTCACAGATCTCTCCGGACACGATTTGTGCCAAGAATGTTGGCATCCGCCACTACGTTTTTCCCTCAGTGACTAAGAAATCCCCAGAGCAAGTAAACTACATCGCTGGGTCCCCACTGCCCCTTCCGTCTCTCCTCACTCATGCCAGGAGGAGAGAAAGTTCCCCCTGCCTAGCTGAGCTGACAGAAGGCGGTGGGGAGGGGGCATGACTCTTGGGCCTCAGGACTGGCACAGGAATACTACTGAGGCCACCATCTCCCACACGCCTGGGCCTGAGTTATACATTCTGCAACTCTGCCTCTGCTTATTTTTTTTTTAAAGATTTTATTTATTTATTTGACAGACAGAGATCACAAGTAGGCAGAGAGGCAGGCAGAGAGAGAATGGGAAGCAGGCTCCCCACTGAGCAGAGAGCCCGATGTGGGGCTCGATCCCAGGACCCTGGGATCATGACCGGAGCTGAAGGCAGAGGCTTTAACCCACTGAGCCACCCAGACGCCCCTGCCTCTGCTTATTTTATTCAGTCCTTATGGCCACCTGATGAGACCATCCCTGTTTTGCAGAAGAAATCGAAGCCGAGAGGTTAAGTACCTCGCCCAAGGTCATGGGGGTAGGAAACGGCGAAGCTGGGATTTGAACCCAGATTGGTCTGTCTCCACAGAGCCCATGGCTGTGCTCTGATGGGGTAAATGTGACCCAGCCCTTAGGAATCTGGATTCAGAGACAGGAAAGAAAGGCATGAAGTGCGGGAAAGTCTAGAAGGAATGTAGAATGAGGATGTGCTCCAAGCCCATCTACACACACACACACACACACACGCACACGCACACACACACACACAGGTGGCCCAAACTCAAGTTAGCCAGGCTGTGAGCCAACAGATGCACTGGAACTTTTGCCTAAGAGGAGGCAAGTTCTGCAGCAGAGGGAGGACTCCGAGAATGTCCCTAGTTGTCCCAAGAGAAGGTCTGGGCAGGGAGGCTCTAACTGGCAGAAGGGGCCTTGAGGACACTTGGGTCCCAAGGAAGCAGTGTGCCTGCTCAGAGCCCGCGGGCCTGGGTCACGGGCTGGCCCTTCCATCAGACAGGTCTTCAAGCCCATGGGGCTCCATCTGACCAGACCACGGGTGTGCCTTGCAGCACCGCTCTGCCCTTATGCACATTTTGGAGACAGTTCTGGGGTCTGTAGTGTGTGTCTAGTTTTCCAGGGGAAATGCCTGAGAAACTGCATTCTATCCTCTGTCCCTCCAGGTCCTCGGCATCCACCTCAACAAGTGGAGACTGGACCGGAAGCTGGGCGTCTGCGTGCTGGCCCTCTATGCCGTCTTCTTGTGCTTCTCCATAATGATAGAGTTCAACGTCTTCATCTTCGTCAACTTGCCCATGTGCCGAGAAGACGATTAAAGGCACTGCCCCCCCCCATCCCCTGCCCCGGGAGCTGTTCTGGACTCTGGCACCGGTGTCCCTTGCTCTCTCCCTGTCCCCCACCACGAGCCTCTCCTGCCTCGGTGGTCGCTGTCTGTTCTGCCACATGCTGGAAGGAAGAGCTGTCGTGGTCTTTGTCCGGGCGCGAGCAAGGCCACTGGGTGTCCTTCTCCTCCTCCTCGGAGTTCTGCCCTCCACACACGAGGTAAGATCCACGGGCCACCGTCCGGGTCACCTGGCAGACCCCGAGCAGACAGCCACAGGGATGTGGCGTGTGCCCCGCCTCTCTCAGACACTTCAGTGAGGACTTCTGTGTGCAATGTGTCTTCCTGTCGCCAGGTGGCCTTGGAAGTGAGGCGGCTGGGAGAACATGAGCTCCCTGGGGGCCAGTGCAAAACAGGAATGTCACTCTCCAGTGTCACCTCTGGGCCCGAGGGATTGAGTCCCTCCGGCCTCATACGCTCCTCAGGCCCTCTGACCTCGGCTGGAAACACTCACAGTTTGGAGGGGGCAGGGCCTTACCCTGCTGAGGGTTTTGGGGGACCCCCAAGGGCAAACATTCTGCCCCTTTCTCTGGAAAAATCGGAAGCATGGAAAGAGCATCTCGCAGCCAGAAGGAGGAAACAGGCGTGAATTTTTCTTATCACTTGCACTGAGGGGTTCAGAGAATGAGCAACGAAATATTAAAAATAAAATTTCCTATAGATCATCCTACTTGAAAAAAAATCGCATTCCATACAAAAAGGTCATGCTGGGGACCAAAAAGGTAACCGTTCATGGAAAACGAGCCCTATGTGTATCGTGTTGCACAGACACTGAGACGTTTGGTTTGGAATATAGAAAAGCATGAAAGATTAACATCGATCTGGGTGCTAATTCAGAGACACAGCAGAGATGCCTGCCTGGACCCGTACATTCCAGACCTTCCGTGTGATGCGGCGCGACGTCCGTGTGGGGTTGTCGTTCCTTTGTTAAATGCTCTCCTCTCATAAGCTACCCTGTTGCAAGACTCGATTGTCTCTGTGCCCAGCAAATTTCATAGCCTGCTGAACTGGAACGAGCGTGCCACACGTAATAGGTAAGAGCAAGAAGAGAGATTGCCTAAAAAACAAAGAATCGCTCTCAGTTCCCAGAGGCAAGTATGAAAAACATAACTTGGCATTTTTTTAGGGCTGGGTTTCTTGAGCCTTAGAGTTGGCTGCCTGTGAAGGGCCAAGGATGGGAGGCGGAGTCATGAAGAGATAGAAAATATATTAAACAGTTTTCACCTGCTTCGTAGCTCTCAGATATATATTAAAAAGATTTATGAACATAAACCATTTGTGGTTTCTGAAAAGAAAGCACAATTCATTTTATATAGAGGGGTTTTTTTCCTTATTTTTTAAATATTTCTATTGCAAAAGTCTACCGGAGTTGATGCACTTTTAATAACTGGGGTATTTTGCACAGAAGAATGTTTGGGAACTGCCCCGGACAGGGTGAGGAAAGGTTTTTAGCGATTCACCAAGGATCAGTCGTAGGTGAGGAGCTGAAAATGCAATAGCTAATTCCTTCCTGAAACCCAAAGGTTGTGACCTGAGGTGGAATTTGTTGCTGTGCCTGCTCAGGCCTCCTGAATTTCAGAAGGAGGAAGTGCTCACGTCTGTGTCCTTTCAGTGAGCATGAGCCTAAGACGGGAGGGAACTCGGTCACCAGGCTTCTGTTCTGGATCTTATCAGTGTTAGTAGCTACACCATACTAGAGCTTCTCTATTGTTTCTCTACCTAGATCGGGCTCAGTAGTCTTCAAGTTGAGGCTGAAGGTGATTTTCCTAAGAAATTAGCTCAGTGGGAGGCCAGGGAATCAGTGGGATCATTGGTATAAACTTGACATGGCCAGGACTGCCCTTTGATGTAAGGAGGGATGATTCTCCCCGCTTCACAGAGAATGTAGACTTGGGAGAGGTCACATGACTCTAGGTCAATTCTCAGTAAGTAGCAGACCAGGAGCCAAGCTCCCGGGTATCACCCCTCCCTGAGCAGCCAGTGGGTTGGCCATCCTTGGTGGGGGGCAGGTAGAGACATAGCCTTGCCCTTGTGCTCAGTTCTCATTGTTTAAGTTAAAACTTCAGCAAATATTTAATAGACTCCTGGTGGCCCAGCATAGATCCTAATAGCTGTCCTTCTCCAGTGCCCGTGTTTTTTTCCTGGTAAAGACGAAAAGATATTTTTAACTACAAGGCACAGGCAACATGGACCCTGATGATGTCCGTGCTGGTGTTCACGTCTCTGAATCCTTGTGTGGCTTTCAGAAAAGCATCCTAATTACCTGCCTCTTCCTTCAGTAGGGTCCCTTTGAGATGACACAGTAGCCTACAGTTGCAGTTTGAGAGTTTAAAAAAAAAAAAAAAATAGTGTTTCTGGGACCTAGAGCACTCCTGCTGGTGAAATTCTCTTTTGACTCTAATGTGCCAATGTAACTTCCTTAAAGGATCTATGTATTTATTGTATCTAGGAAACTATATATACACTGTAGGTGAATAATTCTCTTTTTTAACTAAATATTTTTCCATCACAAGTTTAAAGAATTGCTTAATTAATTAGGCCTTCATTTTCAAATAATACTTTTATCACTACGCAGGATTACATCCTTTATTTTATTCCCAAAGCTAATTAGCATGAGGTAATGACTCTACTTAAAAAAAAAAAAAAGGCAATTAAAAAAAAAATAAATTTAGCTCTTCTCCTTGGGAGCAGAAAAGAAAAAATGAACCATGGTACTGAGATGGAAAATGCGTGTAGAATCAGTAGCAGGCGGTTCCTGCCCTTTTCTAGTCTGGAATTTGCCCTTACCAGCTCGAGCAGGGACAGGGTTGTTAGGTGTACAGTGTCTAAAAGCCTGGCCCTGGAGGAAGGTTCTGGGTCAGCTGGTGGGAAGACTCATGGTGAAGGGCACGGCGAGCAGGGCAGAGCAGAGTTATTATCCTTCCCAGAACCTGCAGTCTGCTAGTCTCTGAATCTCACCCATGTGCATAGACCTCGCTGCTCATTGCCCCACGCCCCACACACACCTGTTAGGGCTACGTCTTTCTTCTTCCTGTCAATCCCCTGCTTTTATAGACCCAAGCAGTTGAGAAGGAAGCACCCCCCTAGAGCCAGGTTAAACGGGTGGCCGGCATGCACGTCACTCTAGGGCAGTCCTGCGGACCCCAACCAAAGACCCCCTCCTGGGCTGTCCAGCAGTCTAGGTCCCCAAGAAAGAAACTGACCCTCCTCTTCCCTTTTGATGAGGATCGCAAGCCTGACCACATCAGCTGGAGCCCAGCCCTCAGGGAATGCCGGACTCCATACACGGGCTGGGAATCTGGGCAGAGTGAGGGTGGCTGCTTGCTGGCTGCCTTTCCGTCCTCCTAGCATTTCTCCTGCCGGAGTCCTAGGGCCCCACCCTCTCCTTAAGATGGGGGTGGACAGAGGTGAGATGGGTGAGATGGCCTGGGGGAGGGTCAGTTCTGTACACCACCCCCCACAGAGGTGGGGAGTGGAGGAGAGCCCCAGCCCCAGCGGCTGAAGCTGCTTCCATGCCTTGCCCTCCTTCCCCGGCATGAGATGGGGGCCAGTGGGGTTCAGGCACAGGAACGATGCAGGTGCTGCCTGCCATGCGTGGGGACTTTCTCCTGTGGGTCAGCAGGACGGAAGCGGAGACCCCGCAGCTGGGGCTGGTGCTCCTCAGTGGGTGTGGCGTTCTGATGGGGCCATGGCCCTGACCCTGAATGGACATTGAGGGTGGGGGTGGCCCCTTCTCTTCCCCACCCCACCCTTTCCTTCCCTCACAGGCCATGTTCCTCCTTGACTGGAAGAGATGGCTGGGCTGCGTATGTGACGGGCTTTCAGTAAGCGCTTGTTGCTGGAATAAACCAGGAACTTGCCGGTTCCGGTGAAAATCGTTAGGAGATTGTTCCCACGTGCGGTGACTTAAATATTCCCAGGTCTAATGCCCTCAGGGCATCATCTCTGGGTGTCTTTCTCCCCTTGGGGCAGTTAGCAGATGTGTCCAGGGCACCTGAGAGGGATCACGTCTTGGCAGCTTTGTTGCCACATTGTGCTCATAGAAACTTCCAGGCTGGGAGACTAGCTTTGTGTCAGGCCATCCCTCAAGCCTGGGAGCTGGCAGGAGAACATCCAGAAGCAGGTGTCGGCATAAAATCAGGAGAAGAAGGGCTGGGGCTTTTCTCCCATTGGGCCACCTGGGTGGAGCGGCTTTTCCCATCATACAAGGAAGCCAGCTTGCAGGTATTAGAGCTTTGATATTGAATGGAGATTTTTTCTTAATTCTAATTTTTCAATGACAGATGGCACCCTGGTCCCGTTTTCTCTGCTAAACCCTCACCCACGCGCCAGGGGTTGGTGGCCCTGCTTTGTTTCATCTTTTATCTTCATGTTTCCAGGGTTGTCCCTCGCTTCTTACAGGTGTGTGCGTATCCAGGGCTCAAGGGCCTGTGTCCTCCATGCCCTGCACAGCAGGGGCAGAGAACATGCCCCCTTCCAGTCTGAGGAAATGTCTGTGGCCTGAGTACCCTGAGACAGACTGGGGGTGATGGAGGGCAGCTCTGAGAGCGGAAAATGCCCACTGCCCCCACCACCCTGTGAAGGTCAAACCACCGTTAGATTTGTGGGTCTGGGATTGGTTGCTCCTTGGTTAAAAGTCTGATGACAAATTTGGGCATAATCCACACATATTTCTACCATTGCCAGAATTTAAACAGTTGCTTTTTATGCAACATGTTGGTTGGGACTTTTCCATGGTCAAGGCCAATTAAAAAAAAAAAAACTTAATTCTGGAGAAGGTATGTACCCTCCCTATCCCACCGCTGGAAAACAATTTTTTTAAGCTATCAAGAGAAATTATGGGCAGTTTGGGGTTTCTGGTTGCATGGTCTGGTGTGATCAGAAAAGGAGGGTCCCAGACAACAGCACTCTCCCTGCTCCCACCTCCAGAATTCCCAAGATAAGAATTCCCAATTATCCAGATGGACAGTCTCCTTTGACAGAAGGAGCAAGGGCTTTCTTTCCTCACACTGAAAATGACTGTGTTGTGAGCCAAGCAGCTCCCATTTTTCCAAATCAAATGTTCTAGTGGTGGTTATTGTTTTTTCTGGCCGCTGGGTCATCCCTGTCCTCGCCTACAGAAGTACCCTTCTGAGAGCTGTAGAATGTTTCTGGGCCCTTCCCGCACATGGCCTAGACCATGGATTTCTGGAGACTCAGCA